CTTCTTTGCTATGCTAAAAATGTACTTGAACTTTTCAAGTGATTTTTAACAAATAAATAGGTAGGTAGAAACCAATATCGTCTCTGCGTTGCCTTGATTCACTTTTCTTATTATTGGCTTTAATGAATGACTCAAACTTCTTTAGAAGTTCTGGTTGCTCCCCACCTTACTTATAATAGTGATGGCAATTCTGGTGCAAACCCTTCCTTAAAACGCCTCTTTTGGGTTTGGATGGGTTTTTTACCAACTCTTCTTAAAAAAAGAGGCTGCGAGCAGCCCCTGCTCTCTCAGACACCGCTGTCTGCCTCCTCAAGACACATCTGCAGGAAACCATGTTCCTCAGCCTGGTGCTCCTTATCTCCCCATGCTTCACCCCACGCTGTCCTCCCCAGCGAGCCCCCATCCCTGCCCAGCACCCTGGAAGCGTCCTGCCTGCAAATACCCCAACTTTCGCAACACCAAGCACTGCCCTGGCTGTTCTCCCTTTTCTCCCGCAAGTCCCTGTGCTGTCCAGGTCTGTTTGACACCTTCTCCTGCTGCTCCCCAATGCTGCTGACAAAGGCCACCGAATCTGGCCTGCCTCCACAGGAGCAGGGAAAGGACATCTCCCCGGTCCAGGCTGTGGACATCCCAAACTGGAGCATGCCTCCAGGCCTGAGCATCAACCTGGGATACCACCACCACCACAAGGCCACATTTCCCATGTGCATCCTTTTAGCCTATTTCTTTTCTCCCTTTTTACCAGCAGCAAAGGAAAAGCCCTCCGAGGCCACCCCCAAACAGACCCCAAACCAACCCTCCTTCTTAGGAACCATCCAGTAAGTTTGCTTGCTGTGCCCTGCCTTGCTTCGCTTTGCTAACCTGCATGTCCCAGCCCAAAATTCGGGCACTCTATTTAGCATCTTTGGGAACAGAGGTCATGCCTTTCCCATGAAACTCACTCAGCTGAGGTGTCCGGACCCACCTCTGCCTGCCTCCGAAGCCGGTTTGACTGCTTCCAGCCAGAGGACAGCTCTGCTTGGAGGGGGAAACCTGCCCAGATGTGCGCCCATCCCTCCCCGCCTGGCAGGGCTGGAGCTGCCTGGCTGCCAGCGTTAAGGCAGGCTGCCCGACAAAGCTGCCCCCGGTCCCATCCCCAAAGCGAGCGGAAGCAATGCCGGGTGCAAGGAGGGAGATAGATTGCTCCATACCTAGCTGGACCAGTTTGATGCTGGGGTGCTGGGCAGCTAATTCTCGCAGGGCCTGGAAACAAAGTGATGGAGCAAGGGAGGAGGTTAGAAGTCACCAGCAGCATGGCCAGGTCTCCCACCCCTGCTCCCAGGTCACCCCAGCTGGAGCGGGGACAGGGCGGCTTTGTTTTTGCTAGGGAAGGTATGCGGGGCTGTTCCCAATGGACGGGGCACGGTGGCATCCCCGGGGCTGGCAGAAGAAGGGGTGCTACTGGGCTCAGGCACTGGCCCCCGTCCTGGGTGATCCCAGCATGGAGAAGGGGTTGGCCGAGGAGCGAGCACTGAGGACATGGGCACCACGTCTACCCCTCCAGCTTCATCCCACCCAGCTGGGTCAGGCACTGCCATAACCGCGGGGCTGGGGGGTTATGAGACCCCACCGGAGCTCTCCTGCCCCCACTGCCAGACCACCCAGCCAGGGCCAGATCTGGCAGAGAGCCGGCAGAGCTGCTGGGACCACAAATTCCCTTTGCCCG